CTTTCTTTTCCAAAAACCTTTGATGAGGGAGATAGTAGTAGGTGGATTTAGTTGTGGTGGTGGGCGGGGATCAAAGACTATCTCTATATCTGAGCAGACAATGATTGTATTAGACACGTGCTTTTTCTATTTTCTTTCATTTCCATTTAGCCAAACTATGCCACAGCAACGCGTGGCCGGGTGCAGCTAGTCACCTATAAAAAGCAACAAAATATCACCTTTAAATGACAACAAAATGTTGTCTGTTAATGGCTAAACAATATCACCTATAAAAAACAACAAAATGTCACCTTTAAATGACAACAAAATGTTGCGTTTTAATATCAAGTCAATATCACATGTAAAAAGCAACCAAATGTCGCCTGATAATAGCAAACAAATGTCACCTCTTAGCAACAAAATAATAACTATGATATGAAACAAAAAAATCAACTATATCAGACAACAAATTGGCAGCTATATAGGGCAATAATAGTTAAATAATGTTAAGACAGCAAATTGTCAACAATTGTATGCAGCAAATTTTTAACTGTGATAAGCAATAGTTTGTTAAAAAATGTTTGACAACATACTGTCAAATATGTTAGACAACAAGTTCTTCACTACGGTAGACCAAACGAATTGTCATCTATGATAAACAATAAGAGGTCAGTAACGTTTTACAAGAGTACGTCAACTGTAATGGGGTGGGGGTAAAGGGGGGGGGGGGTGAATTCCTATGAATCCCAAAAGGGTCCCCAGTATGACGAGGTAGGGTCAAGGGTCAATCAAGCGAGGGAATCTTGGAAAAGAGCCGCTCGCAAATTCCTGTGTTTGAATTAACGATGCAAATGAAACCCATAGGATGAGAACAAAGGTTTAAATGTGAGAAAGTAGATAGAGTCATTAAGTGTTTGAAAGTGCGAAGAACAGGTTGCTTGAATGAGTGACTGAGATAAACTTTGATTGTTAACTGAGAAAACAAAAAGGGTACAGTGGAACCTCACTTAACAAGCATAATTCGTTCCAGAATCAAACTCGTTAAGCGAGACACTCTTTATGCGAAACAATTTTTCTCATATAAATTATTGTAAAATACGATAATGCGTTCCATGTTGAAAAAAAAAAAAAAAAATCAAAAAATGCTATGTATAACGTTTATTCAATGAAAATTATATACATATTGCTAAGGAGATTGAATAATCCTTTCTTTTCTTCAAACTAGAAAGATGTCCAGAGACATTTGTTTTAGCCGACGCCACAAAATATGTCGAAAATGCGACACAGCATTATCATTAAATAAATTCGCAATACGCATAGCCACTTCCTTATTACGGTGATGCATCTCAATGTAAGATGTAACAGTTTGCCATGCGTTCGGCATTTCTCTTTTTTTCGCCAGAAGATTGTTGCTTTTCTTTTACCTCCTCCTCCTCTGACAAACTTTCCTCCAAAACCTCTTGCTGTAAAACACAATGCAACTCCATAAGCTCTTGGGTGGTCAGCTCTTGGCTGTGTTCTTCCACAAGCTCTTCGATGTCACTGTTATCCACCTACAATCCCATGATAGTGGCCAAAGACACAATCTCATTGACTACAGGTTCCACAGGTACTGTCTTGAACCCCTCAAAGTGGCAAATCGACAACGCTCTCGGACCAAAGCTTCTTCCAAGCAAAAATTAGGGTTCTCTTGGTAACCCTTTCCCCCACCCTGTCGATTATCTCGAGGCAGGCAACGATGTGGTAGTGATTTTTTCAAAACTCTTTGAGAGTGAGGTTGGCCCCTTCAGTCACCTGACAACAATGCTCGAAGAGTGCTTTAGTGTAGAGTTTCTTAAAGTTACAAATAACTTGCTGGTCCGTGGGCTGGAGTAACGGAGTGGTGTAGGGAGGCAGAAACTGGATCTTGATGAACTTAAATTCTTCAGGGAGGTCATCTTGTAGGCCTGGAGTATTCATGTACATATATCGAAATATAACACAAGTTTGAGAAAATGTGTGATCACAAGCAACGCTACGATGCTACTGGAACGATTGCTAAACACAGACTGATGTAACATGCGCACAATTCGGGACTTCCCCTCTCCTCGACACTCGTTGTGCAAAACGTCGCCTCTTATTTTATTGTTTAAGCAAGTCATTTTTTTACAATTTGTTTTGCTCATTATGCGAAATACTCGTTATGAGAGGTGCTCGTTAAGCGAGGTTCTACTGTATATGATAAAACATGTTGTTTGAGATAAGGTATGTGACTAATCAACATGTTGTGTCAACTTAGGTATGTGACAAAACCGTTTGTGAGAATTTATGTGATAACTGTTGTGTGAACTAAGGTGTGCAACAAAACAATGTGTTGTGTGAACTAAGCTAAGTGACAAAATGACATGCCGTGTGAGTCAAGTTATGTAAAAAAAAGGATTTATAAGTGTGAGCTAAGATATGTGCCAAAACAACATGTTGTATGAGCTATGGTATCTGGCAAAGTAACATTTTATATGAGCTAAGGTATGTGAGATTAACTAACGTATCTGAAAATTTGTGTGTGTGACCTAAGGTATCTGACAAAACATCATTTTGTGACAGCTAAGGTCAAAACAACAATTTGAGTTAGTAAGATATGTGATAAAACAACCTGTTATGTTATCAGTATGTAATTTATGTTTTAGGAGCTAAGGAATGTGACCCCTCCCCCCCCCCCCCAAAAGCTATGTCAACTAAGTAATGTGATAACACCATGTGTGAGCAAAGCTCACCCTAAGGTATATGACAAAAACAACTTGTTTTCTCAGCTAAGGTATGTGACGAAAGAAACATTTTTTGGCTCCTATAAAAGTCTATAGAGGGCATACCTGCAGTCTCTTAGATGTGAACTTTTATTACTACAAGCATAGATATTTACATTAGTATCTGAAAAATGGGTCACCAGAGAGAGCATGCAAGACTGAACACTAGACTGGAGAAATGCGACTGGACTTTGGAGTAGACATAAGACTGATAACATGGGACTGGACGCCTAAGACTGGACACCTAAGACTAGACACCTAAGACTGGACACCTAAGACTGGACACCTAAGACTGGACACCTAAGACTGGACATCTAAGACGGAACACCTAATACTGGAAACCTAAGACTGGACACCTAAGAATAGACTGAAGACATAACACAGGACACAAAAGACTGACTACATACGACTGGACACTAGGGAGGAGACAAAAACTTGTACTAGGAAGGAGACAAAAGACTTATCACTAAGGAGGAGACACAAAGGAAGAGACACCAAACTGAACACTGGGTAGAGGCATGAGACTGAAAACTACAGAATGAGCACAAGACTGGACACTAGGGAGGAGACATATGAGTGGACACTATGGAAAAGACATAAGACTGAACACTGGAGAGGAGACACAAGACTGGGCACTAAGTAAAAAACATGCGACTGGACACCAGAGAGAAGACATGAGACTGGACACTAGGGAGGAGATATGAGACTGGAAATTGGAAAGGAGAAAGAAGGCTGGATATTAGAGAGGAGACACTAGACTGGACACTAGAGAGAAGACATTATACTGGGAGGAGACACTGGACACTAGGAAAGATACATGAGACTGGAAACTAGGGAGGAGGAATGAGACTGGAAAATGGGGAGGATACATGAGACTGGACACTAGGGAGGATACATGATACTGGACACTAGGGAGGATACATGAGACTGGAAACTAGGGAGGATACATGATACTGGACACTCGGGAGGATACATGAGACTGGAAACTAGAGAGCAGACATGAGACTGGACACTAGGCAGGATACAAGAGTTTAGACACTAGGTAGGAGACTTGGGACTGGAAACTAGGGAGGAGACACAAGACTGGACACTGGGGGGGGGGGACACAAGACTTGACACCCGGGAGGAGACATGAGACTGGACACTAGGGGGTAGACACAAGACTTGACACCCGGGAGGAGACATGAGACTGGACACTAGGGGGTAGACACAAGACATGACACCTGGGAGGAGACATGAGACTGGACACTAGGGGGTAGACACAAGACTTGACACCCGGGAGGAGACATGAGACTGGACACTAGGGGGTAGACACAAGACTTGACACCCGGGAGGAGACATGAGACTGGACACTAGAGGGTAGACACAAGACTTGACACCCGGGAGGAGACATGAGACTGGACACTAGGGGGTAGACACAAGACTTGTCACCCGGGAGGAGACATGAGACTGGACACTAGGGGGTAGACACAAGACTTGACACCCGGGAGGAGACATGAGACTGGACACTAGGGGGTAGACACAAGACTTTACACCCGAGAGGAGACATGAGACTGGACACTAGGGGGTAGACACAAGACTTGACACTAGGGGGTAGACACAAGACTTGACACCCGGGAGGAGACATGAGACTGGACACTAGGGGGTAGACACAAGATTTGACACTAGGGGGTAGACACAAGACTTGACACCCGGGAGGAGACATGAGACTGGACACTAGGGGGTAGACACAAGACTTTACACCCGAGAGGAGACATGAGACTTGACACCTGGGAGGAGACATGAGACTGGACACTAGGGGGTAGACACAAGACTTGACACCCGGGAGGAGACATGAGACTGGACACTAGGGGGTAGACACAAGACTTGACACCCGGGAGGAGACATGAGACTGGACACTAGGGGGTAGACACAAGACTTGACACTAGGGGGTAGACACAAGACTTGACACCCGGGAGGAGACATGAGACTGGACACTAGGGGGTAGACACAAGATTTGACACTAGGGGGTAGACACAAGACTTGACACCCGGGAGGAGACATGAGACTGGACACTAGGGGGTAGACACAAGACTTGACACTAGGGGGTAGACACAAGACTTGACACCTGGGAGGAGACATGAGACTGGACACCGTGATAATATTAGACTGGATACTAAGGGCAGATATTGCTCTCTGAATGGCAAATGATGCTGATACTGTTGTTTATAACCTTCTGATTCGTATTGCCTGATTTTACTAGGACTTTAAGTCAATGATTTGTCCTCTACTACAGTCAGGCAACTCCTCTTCTTCTATTGAAATGATCTGTTCAACGGTCATTGTTTGAGTAGAGTTGCCATGACGAAGCTTCAGTAGTTGTCCAATGTGTACCCAGTGCTTGCGATTGTCCTCTACGTTCTTCAGTGGGGTCTCGGCCTCAGGAAACATCTTAGCCAGGATCCTAGCAGAGATTACAACAATTAGAAATATACAGAAATATACAATCTGCACTAAAAGGCAGCTACATTAAAAATATAACCACATGAGAGATATATACAGCTGTTATGCTAGCAAGTTTGCCTATTGCTGCTCTTAACAAACATGTAATCATAGACACAGTCAGTAATTGTTTCACAAAACAAACGTCATAGACACAGTCAATAACGGTTTCAAAATACACAAGCCATAGACACAGCCAGTAACCGTTTTAGAAAGCAAACGTCATAGACATTGTTAGTAACTGTTTCAGAAAAGACAGGTCATAGACACATTCAGAAACAGGACAGAAGACACACTTCATAGACCCAGTGAGTACAAAATGTGTAACAAGTATGCCATTCGTGCTGCAATGTCGAGTTTAACAGTGCTTTTTGCGACAAAAATGTCTAAGCATTTCTATTAATTAACACCACAGTCACTAAAAGATAACAGTCGCTAGAGTTATATCCCTAGAGCATTTACAATGAGTATCTTAAGTGCCTGGTAAAATTTACTTTAACGAAACAATATTTCGCTGTTGTCTCCCATGAAACTTTGAGTGTTTCACTTTATGTTAGCTGAGATTAAGGGACAATGTGTCTGCATACAAATAAGCCAAATATTTTAAATAGATGTGCACGCAAAAATCAAGTTTTGGAACAGGACCAAAGTCCAGAGATGGGCGAACAACAAGAATTGTGTACCCATACAATAGACAGTACATGTGTCTGTCTGCCACATAATTAAATACTGGAGATACTGTTTCAGATTACACTCACATAATTCCCTTAACACACATAAGCTCCTGGCCTGTTTTGAGCCATCGCTAAACTGCTTTACAAATATTTTGTTTGATTGTATATTTTCAATTGAACTGCTCTCAGCACTTTTAATTAAAATTGAAAAAAAAAAGTAAAAAAAAAAAAATGTAGTAAAAGGGGACTACAATTAATTATGTCTCAAGCTAAGCCGTGAATGCGCACTGGCGCTACCATCCTATTGAAGGTGCTGATGCAGTGTTGTTGGCGTTAGTTTGGTCTGTCAATTGTTTAGGGGGCAGTGGAACAGGCCATGGTGTGGCAAGATCCTCGGGTGTACTTTGGGACAATGGCTAACCATACGCCTGCTATGGTCGGGCTATTAAATCTAGTAATGATATACTTTCTGAGGCGAAACATCTGTAGCAGCTACCTATAAATCTGACCAACAGTTCTCATTCAACATGAATATCACACATAAATCTCACCAGACAACAGGGACTGACCTATAAACTGGGAAAGCAATGTTGTCGAGGAAGGAAATCTGCAAGTCAGGAACACATGCTTTCTCTCTATCCATCATTTCAAGTGGTTTTTTCCCCAGTGCTTTTTCTAGGTCACCCTGAGAGAAAAACTCTTGGTAGATCAGAGCCTGAAAGTAAATTCCCACCAATTAATCATTTTATCAATGTAGAAGTCTTCACTGTTCTTCTGACACCAGTAAATTCCTGACAATGAATTATCTCATATATGTAAGGTATAACTAAGTGGACGCTGGGCACCGTTACTGTTGTGAGCCGTGGCAAAATGTTTTGCTTCTGCTGGACGGTGGCCGATGCAGTTTTGCTCCATTTGTAGACTGGATATAGTTTCGTCGCCCAGCTTCTGAGTTGAATGCATGGCGTGACACTGTGAGCTGAGGATTTTAATTGGAATATTTTTTCGACTGTGACCAACGTGGTGGTGTGAATTGTAGAATCAGAAAATGGCGCGATGCCTGTTGTCGCAATGTTGGTGGTGCCCGTATGTGATTAAAATTGATCGCGTGGGCAACTGCTGATTTGTTTGGTGACTTCTGCTACCATGATTGATGAACTGCATTTTTAATGTCGGACTGTTTGTGTTAGCACTTCGGATGGCTACCGTATGCTTTAATGGGAGTGTATACTAGATATGCTAAAACAACACTCTGTCCGTCTTTCCACAAGGAACTCTGATAAACATTATGTGTGTTTTTCGTTGGCACAGGAGCGGAGCAAAAATGGGGGCGACCAGTTTGCTATGAAGCTAAAACTAAGACTACCAGACTACCAGTCGGGAACAATGACGGCTCCATGGATACCGGCCCTATCACGTTGATTCGTTAACTCCTTCATTGTCGAAAAAAAGTTATAAAGTGTTCTTTAATTTCTCTAGATGTTTCTAGAGATGTTTGTCTACATTACTGTATTTATTTGTTAACTGTGTTAAACTGCTCTGCTGTCGATGTTTCTATTTCACAAGTAAGCTAACTAAGCTACGTCAGAGGCACATATTTATTATTCTACTGCCGTCTGGGCCAGAAAGAGTTAACAGTGTAAGCACAATCGGTTCCATGGAGCAGACAGAAGGGCTTTGAATTTCTGTCACTGTATTTGCTGCTGGCTGAAACGTATTGCGACGGAATGACTGATATTAGATCCCACTGTGGAATGCGCCTTTTTTTGTCTCGGCCTGTCCCATTCTCCCTTTTTATCGTTTGCAGGTTAGCCAGTTCGCACCGGGTTCAGTGATACATTTTAGCGCAGAGACACGCCCATTTGAATGCCCTACCTCTAATTTCCGTACAGTATACAAATGCTTGTTCAGATCTTTATTTTAAGAAACCGACAATTTCATCACGTGATGAACTATAAAGGCATAACACAATATTTTACTGCACCACTGATAGAATAACGGTCACAGTGATATACAAATTATATTTCTCCCACTAGCACAAGTCGAATAATAAATAATAAATCCAAATAGTGTGAGCTCGAGAACACACGTCCTCTTAGTACAGAGTCGGTAATATGCTTCTTTTTTGGTCCCAATATATTCCTGTACAACTACAGCACTTTGAGCTGGTGCATTGTCATGAAAAAGGGTAACAATTGCCAGGTGTTGAATACAAACCGACAAGCAACGTTTTTCTTTCCTAAACTGCAATATGTCGTGTTCTCACATCTGGCTAGTTGTCTAGGAGATGATGTGACTACTGGATGATATTACTCACATTCTAAGATGACATAGCTGTGAAAAGTCGACACCGTCTCCAAGATACAAGACTGTTTATTGACATCTAAACACTAACATCGATTGTTCCGTCCATGTCCTAATCCACAGCTTTGACGCAACACATTGTTTAGACGCCAACACGCTGACTCATCACACATTTACCAACCAGAGTTCTGCGTCTTCAGTTCCACATCTCCGCATAGATGGATCTGGTCATTGCATCAAGTTTCACACAACTGCGTTGGCTGGACTTTACTTCGATGGATCTTGTCGTCTATTCTTCATCTTGAAGCAATCAGTTTCGCGTCCTCATTCACTTGATCACTCTCACGTCCTCTCGTTTTGACGGTCAACACATACTGTCTGATCAGACTGGGGTCTGACCTATACCCAGTGTTCGTTCCACGTGGCTTTACGTGGTCGTTCTTGGGTTCCTCGTGGCGACCTGTGGTCGTTCTCCTTGGGTTCCAAGTGATAACACGTGGTCGTCCCCTACCTTGAAAACCTCGGTTACTCCTCTGGCTTCTCTCGGTGTTTTAATTAACCTGAGGCTTACCCCCAACCTTCCCAATCAGGGTTAAAATATCCCCCATTACACAAATCTGCCACTAAAATTTTACGAATAGTCTCTGTATTAACGCCATCATTTTATCAATTTATCTACCATCATTCTCACAGTCAAACAACAATATTCTTGTATCCGTTCTCGGAATTTTGCAATGAGTTCCTCATTACGAACAGAATTTGGGGCGTTCAGGTCTAGTTGCATTAGTAATAATTTTCACACTACTTTTGAATCGCGAATACCAGCTAAAAATCTGTGCACGAGATAAACAATTATTCCCATAAACTTTTCGCATCAATTAAGCTGTCCCAATGGCGCTTTTTCTGAATTTTAAAAAGAATTTAATTTTAGTTTCTTTTGCTTTATGCTAAATACGTAACAATGCACCTCTGATTAGGTTAACAAAATAGCAGATTGTTTGTTGTCTGCTTATTGGGCGGCGATGAAAAGTTGCCTCTCAAAGGCCAACCCCACGTCCTCGTCATGAGAGGTGGTAACAGGACAAAGTAGGGGATTGCTATGGGTGGGCGAAGTATGGTGTGGCCTCGTGCCACGGGACCGCTACGGTAGCCATGAAGGCCACCCTGGGTCACTCCGAAACGTGCTGGCTAACGGGGCTCTGGTGAAGTTGCGATAGGCCTAGCAAGCCGGCAATGGATTTATTACCGCTACAGAAATCAAAATGTGATATAAACGGACTGATAAAACGGTATCTGACCATGGCAATGTTAAGGGACTACGAGACAGAACAGCGAAATACAAGATTGCAACACTTAACACCGCTGGCCTGGGAAATAAAACAGAAGAGATTATTGAAATGATGGAAAAAAAGGAAAATCAAGTTAATGGGGCTAGCTGACATAAGACGCAAGGGAAATATTAATAAGAAAATACACAGAGGCTACTTACTAACATATGCAGGAAGAGAAACATCGAAGAATGGAGTGGGTTTCCTGGTACATCCGGACATATCTAACTACATATTAGACATACATTATCACTCAGATAGAATTATTACTTTGAAAATTAAAAGAGGATAACAAGCTGAAACATATATACAGATATATTCACCATGCAATGATAATTATACAGAAGAGCAGAAAGATGAATTCTTTGACGATCTGTCTGATGAGATAAAGAAAGTTGAGGGAAGCAGCATACTATATGTAATGGGTGACTTCAACGGGAGGGTAGGAAATAACAGAAGAGAATACGAACAGTTTTTAGTTCCATATGCAGCTAAGAACAGTGCTAGAAATGTAAATGGTCAAAGAATATTGGAATGCAGCCAGCACAATCTTTTTTATTACGAACACATTCTTTGACCATAGAGATTAACAACTTTACACTTGGTACAAATGGAATGATGTCTCCATCAAGAGCCAGATTGACTTTATACTTACCAGAGTTCAAGGAAGAAGGAGAATTCTTGATTCAAGAGCAATCCCTAATGGTCTATGTGACACTGACCATAAAATAGTTGTGTTAACAGCAAAACATCTTACATTAAAGAAACACAGAAACAAATTAAACAAAAACATGGATCTCATCAAGATAGCAAATCTGAAACAGGAAGGAGTAAAAGAACAGTTACAACAGAAAGTAGAGACAGCATTCAAACAACTTCCACATGTAGTTGGCAATATTGAGGAAGACTGGAGTATATATAAAAACACTATGCTTAGTATTGCAGAAGAATTGTGTGGAAAACGGAAGAGTGGAAACAGACGGGGAAATAACAAATATTCACCTTGGTGGTGCGAAGAAGTAAAAGAAGCAATTAAAAAGAAAAAAGACAAATAAACAGTGGATAAAATCAAAGAAAGAAGAAGATTATATAAACTATAAACTGCAAAGGAGAGTCCAGAAAGCAAAACAAGCATCATGTGAACGTTTCGGCGAGTAACTAGCAGAAAATGAGAAGACAGCCAGCAGAAAATTTTTTCAAAGTAGTTAAAAATATGCGGAAAAGAGATGAGAGCTACAACCCCACTGAAATAATTAATGATAAGACAGGAAGGCCATTGATAGATCCACCCGAGATAGCAGAAAGATGGAGGGAATTCTTCATTGAGCTCTTTAATCCTCTAGGATATCATCAGGAAAGAACAACTGAAGATCACAGAGCAACAGTGTTAGAACCACACATACTAATGGATGAAAAAGAAAAAGTCATTAAACAGGCTCCCAAATATAAAGCACCAGGAGCTGATAGATTACCAACAGAAATAATTCAAGCAGCAGGTGAAAGCAGCATCAGATGGCTTCACAGAATATTCAATGCAGCATGGGTACAACAAACGGCCCCTATTGATTGGCAACATGCAATAGTTATACCATTGTGGAAGAACAAAGGAAGCAAACGAGAATGCGGTCAATATCGAGGCATCTCTCTTTTAAGCCATGTTGGCAAAATGTATGCCAACATAATAGAAACAAGACTAAAACCAGTGATAGAACCACAGCTGGCAGAAGAACAGATGGGATTTGGGAGAAATAGAAGCTGCACAGATGCAATCTTCACACTTAACTCTTTACGGACGTTTAGTCAGTATACTGGCGATAAAGTCTATCCCTTAAAGACGTAAAGCCAGTTTACTGGCTCATGATAGAGACACTCTAATTTTGTTCCGTTTGTAGGGAAAACGAACTTTTATGAACAAGATTTTTAACAATTAGGATTAACAACAGGATGTACTTTCATTTGCAATGTTCATCGTGGTCAGTGCATCATTTTCTGATAAAAAAAAAAATTATTTAGATGGGATACAATTTTTACGTGATTTTTCTATACTAAATGATAAGGGAAAAGTTCTAGAACTGTCCATACT